TTAAAAAAAGTATGCTCAGTAAACCCAGCACAGGCCAACCTACTTTAGAGCCCCTCCCCCAATTAAAGTGTATTTATAGGCCAAATTCTTTTATAATCTGGTTATAAGGAACATTCAAAACACATTTCTGGTATTTCTAAAATAGAAATTAAGGAAAGAATAACTCAGATTTACACTTCAGCTTGAAAAATAATAAAGGCATTGATATATAGGCCTTAAGGCAAATCCTGCTGTCACTGACAGTAATGATAAAAGTTACCACTGACTTCAACAGAAGCAGGATCTGGCCCTTAATTTGTTAGGCTATTAAACAGACACAATTTGCTTTTAAAATTTCTACTTCTCCCTCACTGTCTCCCCCAAAGATTCAAGAACATATGCACACATATACACACCAGTTCCACATACCTAATAGGTTAATAATCCCTTCATTATAGGCTGCAAAAAGCCTAATGGAATCTTTAAAGAGAAGCATGAAGGCAGCATTTATTACACCATTGGTTAATTCATTTGGATTTGCCTGTGTAGAAAGTGAAGAGATAGATTAAAAGTATTGGTGGGGAGAAAAATACCAGTAAATTTCTTCCCATATCAATTAAATAAAATATTTTAACAATGAAATACAATTTAGAATGTGCTTACATCAAAATCAAGGAGCGCATCAAGCTGGTTCTGAATAATTGGAAGAGTTTTCAGAAGCTTTTCAGTATTCATAGTTCTCATCACTCCATCTATCCTACAATGTGTAAAATGCCAAATGTATAAATGTACATGTGACCTAGAACATATGATGCCTTGATATGATTAGTACCCTGTATTTAACTACAGTTTAAAAGGCAGCAAAGTTCTATGGCAAGCATATACATGGCTACTAGTAACCTCTTATATCTGAAATGAAAAGCAAAAGGAGAGTATTTCTTACCCTCTTTTCATTTTGGTGAAGTCAACTGCTAAAAGTCTGTAAGAAAGTGCTTTTTCATTCAAGTATTTGCTATATCGCCTAATGAAGGTAGACATATCATAACCTGAAAATTAAATGTTTACTAGTTAGACATTTCAAAGAGGAAGAGTATCTATTTATTTTGTAATCATTTTTCAGTACTATTCTGTAATGTGTGTCATTGCACACTACTTGTATAAGGAGAGAACGCCATGTTCACTTGCAGGGCCCCTAAAGCCTCCCTCCATATTTCTCTTGATTATTTGCAGTAGCCTTGAGGCATAGTGCAGCCATCATCTTCCCAAGTGATGATAATTCCATGGAAATTATCTGGACTATGTTAATGCCTCACCTAACAACAGTAGGAGAGGCTACTGTTGGCAACTATGAGGCACTCTTATTCTTATAGTATACAGCTCACTGGAAACAGAATCAGTCAAATGCTGAAGACTAAAGATGGGAACTACTGAACTTCAGCTACTGTAAAAAAGTATGCTCTCAAAAAAATACTAAAAAATGTATATATTTTTGCCATCATACAAACTACCTCTAACACCTTTCAGAGATCTGCATGAAACACTTTCACTAACCACTAGTAGTGTGTTCTAATGACCATATTATGAAGCCTGACAATTAATATTACCTCCCCGCCATTGTGGAATGCAGCCAAATGAAAAAGATTATTCCAGTGCTCATGTGTTAAGTTATAAATGCCTTTTTAAAAAAGACATGTAAGCACATTTCTAGCTCTCACCTGTGTAACTTTCAGCCATCCTATAATTTTCCCTGCTTCCTTTGCTTACTGTCATCCCTTTGCATTGCATAATATAAATTAAGTCCCCTTTCATGGAAACGTCATTTTCTGTTAAACACCAGTGACTTACAATCACTACTAATGCAGAGCTAGAAAAATGCACGTATTTAAGACATTAAAAAAAAATCAATTGTTTTGTTATGTAGGTTTTTTGCGGGAGGGGGTGCTTTATTTCGTTGCTTTGCCAACCTTCTCTTGAAAAAGTAATACTTTACTGTTTGCAACTTAGTTTTCACAAAGAAAAAGATTCTTACCCTGCATGGCACTTTTGTCCAGGTAGTTGTTTAGATTGAACAATGTATTTCGGGATGCAAGATACTGGATAAAGCGCTGATGAAGGGGAAAAAATGTCAACTGCTTGAAAATTACTTTTTCTTCATTAAATATAATACATTTAAGAATTAGATTACAAAACAACTGCATGTAACTTGGGTATTTCAGAGGCAACATTTACCTTTATCTACAATGTACAAATTAGTTGCAACAAAAATGATTCACCAAAATTTAGTAAACTAATGTGAATACATTAAATTTCAGAACTGAGAGTTTGGTAGACGAAATGTGTTCAGTCTGAAGAAAAGCACTCTATTGTCCACACATGAAGTTACATTAGCATTTGAGGGAGTAGCTTACATGCCTTTTTAAGTAAAAGTTTTGTTAATTCTGTAGCTCACAGTAGGGAAACTGGAGAAAAACTATAGGTGCTCTAAAAGTTTCTTCTGTACAACGCTATAACTTGTACGTAAGGGTTAAAGAGACAATGACAAACTATTTGGGAATGCTTTATAAAAACACAGACACTGAAGCATTCAAGTATTTATATAGTTATTAACTCACCTGGCATTATACTACTTCTAAGTAAGTCTATAGCGTTAGTCTCCTCCTCTTCCTCCTCCTCAAATAGTTGGCTAAGCAGATGAGACAAGAAAGAGGAGGAGACTAAATCTATAGCTTAATTTATTAATGTTATTTAAAAGGAAACTGCTTCATGAATAATTTAAGTCTCTCTGCCACTTTTAATACATATTAATATGCACACAATCATGTCTTCCTACAACTCAAACTATAAATTAGAACTTATCTTTTCAGGACAAAAAATATTGTCACCACAGTTACAGGGTTAACTGCACCTCTGACCTCTACCAAGTCTGAGCATCTCCCCTCAGGTTAAAGCCACATGCCTTCACTTCTCTCAGGGTGGAATCCTGCAACCCGCTGGGTCTTGGGTTATAGCACATTGCCTACTAACAATGATTGCTTCGAAGGCCCGGCTGAGTTTGGTATCTGTAAGTCTGCCTTTCGTGAATTGTGACCAGTAGGCCTAGTCGGGAATTTTTCAATAAAACAGTTTTTTGTCTGAATAGTCCAATTTCTCAAAACTGAAACTTTACCTGGGAACATACCAGATTCAACAAAACTTTCATAGGGAAAGGTTTCTCAGGTTCAGTACGGCATTTCAGGTCAAAACCAGAGACACAACCCACCCCAAAAATATGCCAGTAGTGAGCGCACTCACCTAGTATGTAGAAGACCCAGATTCAACTCACTGCTTTGCCTGATTCAGACCAAGGACTTGAACCTGAGTCTCTCACATCCTAAGTGTCCTAACCACCAGGCTGCTATTCTGGGGTGAGGTGGTTGTCGCTCTCTCTCTGACCCAATGAATATTTTTTTATACACACTAACAGTTTCAAAAGACAGAAACACATTCTTATAGCCTGGTGGTAAAGGTACTCACTGGGGATGTCGGAGACCCAGGTTCAAGTCATTAGTCTGAATCAGGTGAATACCCTCAATGCCAAGCTATTCTGGGTCTCTTGTTTTTCCACTCAAAAAAACCAACATAACTTTGAAAGATCTTGGTTTCATCCCAATGTAGAACAGGGAAGTTTTAGAAATCTCAAACATGATCACAGGAGAGGAAAAGCAGTTCCCACCCAGCTTCAGTGACCAGTGGCTAACGCAGTGACCAGGCAGCTTTTTTTAATACAAACCAATTTTATCCTAACAGTAGGAATACAGCAAAGCAAAGAGGAAACAGATTTTAAAACAATCAAACAGTCTGTATGCATGTCTATCTTAGTTAAAATACGAAGGCCTACTGCTTCAGACCCTCCCACAGGGTCTGTGGCTGTGTCAGGCTGTTCTTTGTGAACAGCTTCCTTATGACAATCTCCCTCACTATGGACAGAAAGTTTTGAACTGTTGATAGCCCTTTTGATCTGTTCCTTCTCAACCTTGGCTGAGTAACTGCGTAACTTTGGCAGGAACCTAGAAGTAGCATCTTCATAGCTAATAGAGCTCAGTAGTGATCTTAACCTCCTGAATGGTTTACAGGTGGTGTTTTATCTGGAGCCACTGTCTGCCCTTACTCTATTTCCAAACAGGCTGGTATAACTAAACCAACATATGCATATAATAAATTAACTCAATACCGTCAATATTCCTTGACCTGAAAAAGAGCTCTGTGTAAGCAAGAAAGTTTGTCTCTTCCAACAACAGATTTTACTGCAACCACCATGTCTCTCTAAAGTCACAGTCATGTACTGCCTATTTCAATAACCTCGTCAGACCCCTTACAGATCAGGTCCAAATCCTTCACAGTGGTTCTTTAATGTTTACATTTAAAGCAAAGGTAAAACTTTCTTATAGAGATACTTTGCCTCAGCCACAATTCTGCACTCAGATGTCTGTCATATGCGCAACAGACAACCTATAATATGCATGGGGATGCACACTTGTATATTTGAGATGACAATCTCTATTATTTGACATAAAAGGTTGACTGTTTAGGCTTCATCGGAAGGTTGAGAAATTGTGTAAAATTAAAGATGAAATTTCTAATGTCATATTGTGATCTGGGAAAGAAAATCTGTCCCATCACTTACTATACCACAAAGTTTTTAAAATAACTTTTGCTGATCTTTTGTTTTTAAACTGAACTAAACATAGGTGGTAAATGAATGGCAATAGTAGTTTAGGAAGGAAAGTTACTGGAAAAGAGGCATGACATGGATTTAGACATCTACTGAGTTTAGTTTGAAATTAACTGACTAATTAGTGATGAATAGCACTTCACTAATTTTCAATCAGAAAGATAATTTACAACCAATAACGATAGAAAAATTAAGTATATTACTTTTTTTTCCCCCCTTCAAGTTCACAGGTCACAACTATTTCTTTATGGCATTCTGATTTTTTCAGAGATGCCCCTATAATGTAACTATCACAAGGTAATCAGTCTTACCTCATTTCCATACATCATGAGGTGGTGTGTTGTAATTAGAGCTTTGAACACTACAACCCAGCTACTGTTAACAGTCCTCTCAAAAAGTGTGTCTGCCAGCTGCGGAATATTCACATTCATCTCATTTGTGCACTGGATTAGATCTAAGTTAAAAAAAATGTAAAGCATTATGTTTAGACATTCAAAGATGTGACAGAAATAAGTTTCACAGGCTGAACAGATAACATGAGTGTTAATTGCTTTATACAGGACTCCATACCATTTGAAAGCTTTAACCCGATGCATTAAAAATTATATTTCCTTTTGGAGTTGCAAACCACAAACAACCTGCCATCTTTTGCTTTATTTCCTTAATAGCAGTTTTACAGAAAATAAATGAAAACTAAACTAAAATGCGTAACTGAATTCTTTATTCTAAGCTTCTCTACTAAAGCACATATCAATTTACTAGCTTAGAAATGCTCTAAAAGTTTTGAATAGAAAAAGGAAAAAATCCTTATATACATTACAATTCAAAAACTATATTAAGATATATTTTACTCTATTATAGGGATGCTGCAATTATTCTCAAAAGCAAGCATTACAAATTCAGAGTTAAGGTTAATTTAACTTTTAAAAAATGGAAATACAAAGTTAGGGCCACTCTCACAATCTTAATTTCACCCTCTAGTGAACACCATGCAACAACCACATGATTAAAAGGTATTAGTGAGCCCAGATTAGATTAAAGTGATTTTTAAAAACACACAAGATTCCACCACTCCTCCTGGTGACATTATAAAATATTTATATTAAATTCAAACTTTAATCCTAGGGTTTTCCATCCCCATAAGATTTTAAGTCTCCAAAAATAGGAATCTACCAATATATGTAACAAAAGATGCTTGGACCACTAAAAAAACTGAACACTTGAGATATCACCATCATTTGTATACCCATGTCCATTACGGATATGATAAAAAATTCATTTGTGCAACTTGCCATCACAATGGTATTTATTTCATTACTTCCCCAATAAAAGTCACTTGGATGTGTTAATCTGTGTTCTTTGAACTCAGATAACAGCTTTATTCTTTGCACACAAAACAAAATCAGTCTTCTAGCAAATAGCAATAATAATGAAATGAAAATCAATGGTACTTAGGAGCTTTTTAAAATGTGTCCATTATCTTTTATTCCAGAAATGAAGCTCAATAACAATATTAAGATACTAAGAATAAACATTTTTACAGTTCTCTCTAGTAAGACTAGTAAGCACTGACAGGATGATAAGTAAAAGGCAACATGGATTTGTCAAGAAATGACAAACCAACCTAAATTTCTTCTTTGATAAGGTTACTGACCCAGTGGACGGGTGGAAAGCAGTAGACAGGATATATTCAGTTTAGTAAGGCATGGTCCCATATGATGCTCTCAAACGAACTAGTGAAATGTGGTTTAAATGAAATTACTGTCAGGGCGGTGCACAACTGGTTGAAAAACTGTGCTCAAATGGTTATGAATGGTTTGCTGTCAAAATGAGAGGCCGTATCGAGGGGGTCGCATAGGGGTCTGTCCTGGTCCAATACTATTCAATATTTTCATTAGTAACTTGGAGAACGAAGTGGAGAATATACTTATAAAATTTGTAGATGACACCAAGTTGTAAGGGTTGCAAGTACTTTGGAGGACAGTGTTAGAATTCAAAATGACCTTGACAAATTGGAGAACTGGTCTGAAATCATCAAGAGGAAATTCAATAAAGGTAAGTGCAGAGTTCTACACTTAAGACAGAAAAAACAAATGCCCATCTACAAAATGGGGAATAACTAGCTAGAAAGCAGTACTCTAGAAGAGGGTCTTGAGGGTTCACAGTGGATCACCAACTGAATGAGCCAACAATGTGATGCAGTTGCAAAAAAAATAAAAATAAAAAAAAAGCTAATATTCTGGGGTGTTTTAACTGGAGTCTCATGTAAGATACAGGAGGCAGTCTTCCTGTTCTATTCAGCACTGGTGAGATCTCACCTGGAGTACTGTGTCCAGTTCTGGGCACCACACTCCAAGAAAGATGTGGACAAACTGGACAGAGTCCAGAGGAGAGCAACAAAAGTGATAAAGTGTTTAGAAAAACCTGACCCGGAGGAAACGTTAAAAAAACTGGACAAGCATAGTTCTGAGAACAGAAGATGGGGGGGGGCGCGACGCACCATATAAGTCTTGAAATATGTAAAGGACTGTTATAAAGAAGTGAGTGATCAGTTGTTCTCCACATCTAATAAAGATAGGAGAAGAGGTAATTGGCTTAATCTGCAGCAAGAGAGATTTAGGTTAGATATTAGGAAAAACTTTCTAACTATAAGGATAATTATGCTCCGGAGTAGGTTACTAAGGGAGGTTGTGGAATCCCCAGCACTGTCTAACTGGTTATTAAAAACCTCCGAACACCTGTCAAGGGTGGTCTAGGTATATTTGGTCCTGCCTCACCACGGGGGCTGGCCTACATGAACTCTTAAGGTCCCTTCCAACCCTACATTTCTATGATGAGTACCCAGCCACGCTTTTGAACAAGTGAGGCATCCTGCAAACCTACCACCCTGGGATGCATTTTCGTCACATGATGGGGGCTCGCCCACAGTGGTGACTAAGGATACAATAGTATTTTTCACGTGAGCAGGGATCTTAGAAGTGAAATCATAGACCCAATAAAGTTAACGGCAAAACTGAGTTATGGGTACTCAAGAATCTTATATGATCAAACCAAGGGTAAATCTTAGACCCAATGAAGGCACTGGGAGTTGATTTAACTGAGATTAAGCCCTTAGCTTCCAAGTTTGGGCTAAACTAGAATTTGTACATCATTCTATCTACCAAAATTTGTCTTACATTCATTTTCTAAACAATTTCACTTTCAGGTTCTCATACACTGCAATCCAGACACTGTGGTGTTGTATTAGATGACAACTGAGGAATGGTTTTTTTAGAAATCTTTCTACTGGAATATTTAATAAAAAGGGAGCTCATGGAAATAGTGTGCTCTATAGGCCAAAAGCTTGCTTTCACTAAACTTAAATTTGACATAAGACTTCCCTTATTAAGATTTTAAAAACACTTTAATGTACTGAGTAATTTAAGGTTAGATTCATTCCACAGCTATGTTTATTCTTGTATGCAATATGTTGTAGCCAAAAACAAACCTGTGACTACTGTAGCTCACTTTTTTTTAGATCTCTAAATTCAAGGTATTAGTTGTCTTAGTTACACATTAGCCAGATTCTGCTGTCCTTTAGCTGAACTCCTGGTGCTCTAGCATAGTTATGATTGTGAAATATTAGTTATCTTCCATTAGTAATCTGGTAAATACTCTTATAAAGAACTGTTGCGGTTTTCATGATTTTAAAAAACTGACTGACTTCTTCCAGAATAGACAGGTCTATAAAAAGGTTATTTTCAGAGAAATGTTAAATAATTGAACTTGTTACTGAAAGGGAAAAAAAACTAGAAGAAAAAAATATTACCAAAACCACACCGCAAGTTGTGCAGGCCTGTGATAGTCTACTATTGTTAACATACTCTACATGCCATCACCCACGTACCTCTAACAGTTAGTGAGTATGCATGCGCAGTGAGACAGACCAAAAGGTAGAAACAATTCTAATATAAGAGTAAATATTATAAAATGTTGTAGGTTACAAAAGGAATGAAACAGCGGGTAAAAGATGTTAGTTCCCCAATATCACTTTTCATTTATATAGCACCTTTCATCTCAGAGTGTTTTACAAACCACAAACACAGGCATCACTTCCATCAAGAGTGAAATGCTATTCCTGGAATGGAATTTAGAAACTGTTATAACAGCAACACTAAACAGTTTTAGACTGGAAGAATACCACATCCCATCAAAATTGAAGGGGCATATAGTCAGGCTGAAAATTAACCACACTAGAATTTGGCCAGGACACCAAGATTAACACCATATAAAGAGGGCCATGGGATCTTTAATGGCCTACAAAACATTCATTTTATAACATCTGAAATATCAGCACATCTCATTTGAAATCAGACAGCTACTCAATGAATAACAAACACTACTTTCTGACAAACATAGGGTTTTCATTAGAGATTTCTCAGCCAAATACTGACCAAGACCAGTGTTTTTTCAATTGTATTAATGATTACAGCCAGAGGTCCAGAGATAGCCCTTTATGAAAACTATGATTATTAGATCAATAAGTCATGCAGCAAGTTCAATTTCAGATTTCTTTACTTTGTTCATTGAGACTAAGCTGCTCTTTATAATCACTGTATCATTTTAGGTATTTCCAAGCCTGTATGATCTACAAACTACAACAATCAAGCACAATGAGGACATTTAGAAAGAAGCTTAGCCCTAACTGTGATTTTGTTTTACTTTTCTGAGTTCAAGTCAGATTCTCCAATTATTCAACATGGGTTTAATTAAGAACTTAAAATTCAGGGAGAAAGAACCCCTGGGGCTGTGGAAACAAGTAAACTGGGTTTAGATTACCCGGAAAGTAAAGTAATTTTCCAGTTTTCCTTTTTAAAACATAGATCACTATCTTCTCCCAAAGCTGTAAGAATTGGATAGTATTTTAGAAATATACAAGGAAGTTGCTATTGCAGTGTGACTGAATCACTGTGTGTTCAACTCACATTATATTAATCTGAGGCTATTTACACAAGTTAACTCCTCTTAAACTAGCCTCACTCAGAAGAGTGGCCACACTGTGAAGTAACACCCGAGTTCTACAGAATGATTGTGTTAGAAGCTGATGAGTTGTACTAACTTGGGGCATGGCTACACTTGCAGATGTAGAGCGCTGTGAGTTAAACCAGCCCTCAGAGAGCGCAGTAGGGAAAGCGCTGTAATGTGTCCACACTGTTTGCTGCAAGCACACTGGCATGGCCACATTTGCGGCATTGGTAGCGGTGCATTATGGACAGCTATCCCACAGAGCACCTCTTCCCATTCTGGCGCTGTGGCTTGTGGGAAGAGGGTGGGTGGGTGGGGCGGGCATTCTGGGTCCTGTCCCAACGCCCCAGGATGCATCCCTGTGCTTCCGTCCACATTTGGCGCCATCTTTCAACGTTTTTTGTACTGCGCCCTCTGTCTTCCCTTTCATTCTGCAGGAATAGGTCCCAA